AATAAAAACTTCTCATTTTTAGCGATCAAAACAACCAATGGAAAGAGTGCACGCATTCGTTGACATCAGCTTTATCTGTCTGTACTCTCATAGATGATAAAAAATAATCAATCAACATGCGAGAAATTGGCAAGTTATCGTAAAACAAAAACTGTCTAATAAGGATTTGTATGGTATATGCTCTTTGCCATACAGCACATTTTCCCATACAAATCCTTATAAAATTTTAAATTCTATTAGATGCCATCTATCCTATAGTCAACATTATGAGCTGAAACTTCACCCCCTTACTAAAGTTGAGCTGCTCTTTTCATTTCCAAAGTGATGAGAGATGTACTGGCCAACATGTTGGTTGACATAACAAAAAACAGCAAGAAAAAATCTTTTGTCAAAGTCTACTACCCAAAGCTAGTGGGTTTTCATTCCTCAACACCCTTCTCTTCCTAAGAGGATCAGTTACAGTCACTGGAAAGATTACCCGTCAGGTGCTTGAATATTATGAGAACTGAAAACCTACCCCTTTCCCCCTCTCAAAGAAAAACACATCTAAATTATATCAAGTCTAAGAAAATTATTTCTTAAGCCTTTGGCATACTTCACCAGACTCTAACCCTCTACAGTGACAGATCTAGAATAGATACATTTTTCCTTGTTTTCTTCCTTTCTTATGACAGTATTACTGATATATACATATAAGTTCACCAAGTGAGCAAAGTGAGTTGCTTGCTACTGAGTACAAATAATTTTGAAATAACATCACTGACATGAATCGCCTAACTGGTCTAAACAAAAATATCTTTATTACGTTCGAAAAGAATACAGAGTTCCCAAGAAAATCGACGAAATTTTTAACTCGGGTTGAACTAGAATTTTTTAACTTGGGACCTAATGGTGAACTTGCTAATACAAAAGTTCTCCGTGCCCCCTCGTTTTGTAATCAGAATTAGTTTCCACCTAGAACTTTGCATTTTAAAACTGCAGGAATGTGCAGATTTAGATTTGCTTTAGTTCAATTTAATAAAAAAATAGGCCAGTGCTTCAAATTAAAGATAAACTCACTTGATGAACTTGAATTCTTTTACACGAAAAACACATCAAAACGTTGAATTGTTGAACCATTCTAATCCACTGGTGTTAAAGAAATGCTTCTTT